GACACGTAATATACTCCAGTAACTACTGGCTTACAACACAGTACAGGACACGTAATATACTCCATAGTATTCTCACTATGGCGCCATAACAACACGATCAACTGAGTCTTGAACTTGTAAAGTCATATAGTTTATAAATTTGTGGCTTTTGGTACATGGAAAGTTTACRCTGTTCTTCCCACTGAGATTGAAAGTAATCTCTAATTTTCTAAAACATGGAGCTACACAGTTTTCATCCAACTTCGTGAGTAACAAAGCCTCAGGTTACAGTCTGTCGTTTCGGATTTTACGACATCTGTAAAATGYGAAATGACGGTTTCGCATTTTAAAGATCTGTAAAATGCGAAATCCTCGTTTTGCATTATATTGTGTTGTTTCGTTTCGTTTCGTGGTTTAATGTAAGCCCAGTCAATCTCTATTTGCATTTTCAGAGTACTTATTTTAGAAAACCAATTACCTGTGCCTTGAACACTMTGTTTCTATAAATTCTTAAAAGAAACCGCTAGTAAAGGTCATGCAGACACAGAGGTTGGGCACTGCCAGAGATTTGTAGTTGGATGGCATTACAAAGGTGACACCTTAGTTGTTTTAGACTCCTTACTGATCAAAGATCTCACATATACAATCACATAACTTCATATCAGCCCTGTGAAGAGGCCTGTGCTATCGAATTGTTTAGTATAATCAATTCTGCATCCTCTGCMTTCCAGCTCAAGTTAAGGAGCCATGCAAATCAGAAAAAAATTAATTTCAACCAGTCAAACACTCTTACCTTTTTATTACCTATGCTATAAACACATTCCCCCATGTATATAGTCAGCACCATATATCAGGTATCAGTRGTTGTATTTCTTTTGCAACTGAAGATGGCAGCACTATCAGCTGAAACGTCTTTTTTTTTCAAAATAGTAGCCTTGTTTTTTAAATATTTCTGTTTGTTGCTGTCAAGATCTATTTTTTTTAAATTATTATTTTGATATTTCTCCTATGAATRATTTCCAGGAAGGAATTCCACTGACCAAGCCGTCTTTTTTTGCCACTATCACAACAAGCCAGCTTCAACACATCTTCAGATCTGAGACTTCCACTAAGATGCCACTGCTGAAAGAAAGAGCTGAAATTCTTAACGAAGCAGGAAAATTTCTTATGGAAAATTACCAAGGTTCATTTGCCAACATGATAAGCAAGTGCAACCACAGTGCACAGAAACTATTGAAATTAATAACCACATCTTTCAGGGGTTTCCGCGATGAGGGGACTTTCAATAATCACAAAGTTTCATTTTACAAACGTGCGCAAATTTTGATTGCTGATATATGGGCATGTTTTGAGGGTAAGACGTGGGGAAGCTTTGACGATATTGAGATTATAACGATGTTTGCTGATTACAAAGTCCCACAGTCACTATTACACCTTAAGGTATTGGAATATTCATCAGATTTAATGGATAAGCTTAGAATGGGCAAAACTATCCCACCTGGTAATCACCTAGAAATGGAAATTAGGGGGAATTCTATTTGGGCAGTTGAGCATTTGTACCAGACAGTCAAGAAAATGGCTTTAAATGATAAGGAATTTGCTTGTAAGTCTCCCCGAGAACTTGCACAGTGCTTGAACTCTGTTATCATTGATTTTTACTTGTGGGATTTTGCTAAAGAGAAAGTTGAGAAAATTACTGACCTACCATGCCACAAAACTAGAACGATATTTTATTGATTGAAATAGTGTATGGAGCCAGGAGGTATAGGGTCTATAGCACCTTATGAAATATTTGAGATATAACGTGTGCGCTGATTGGCTGGCTACCATGTTTATATCAAAGGACAGAGACACACTCGTGTGAAATCATTCAAAAATATTTCATAAAAGCAATATAAAACGTYCGCTTGTGTCTACATGTATATACTGTGATATAAACACKATGGGAGCTGTAGAGCACTCRAGAAGTCAAAGAAACACTYGGCTACGCCTCCTGTTTCTCTACGAATTCTCTCTTGTTCTACAGCTCCCAACGTGTTTATGTCACAGTATATAGACACGCACACTGTTTTATTTTTCTAATACCTAGGTGGTTAGTYCTTTCATTATGTACATTTTTTTATTTGCAATTTTTTTTTACATGGTATACAACACTAATTTAACATAACACAAGTTGGTGTTTACAAACATTACCATTGTAATTTTAATTTGCCAACCATTATCACAATAGTTATTGCCAAGTTGCTTGGTTTTATCAGCAAATGGATCTCTGGTTGGCAAAGTAATGACAATGGCTTACGTGTGTAATGAAGCCTTATTTATGACAGTGCAACRTAAATATTTAAAAGATGTTATTGTTATTATAACTGTATCTTAAAATATAATTGCACAATTTATTTTGGTTTTTATGTTGACCAGATGCATGTACTGTATRATACTAAATGTTTGTTATATTTATCTTGTTCTTGGTTGACTAAATCATGACTCCATTAATGTCACTGTTACCTTTTTTCTTTATGCACAAGTTAATAAAACTATTACTGATGTCATTTGAATTATGTCTAACATAATGTTTCCTTTTAAACAATTTTAGTTTAAACTTTATGATTTTGAAAACAAATTTCMAATCTACCAATGTACAAAAATCAGAGTTAACTATTCTTTGATTGTGCATTACATCATCGCGGCCATGTTGGTGCCATTTAACAAAAGAATTCTCATTAGCATTCATTGTTAAAGGCACCACAATGGCCGCCATGTTTTTCTTTCCATACACTGGTTCAGTGGTCAAACAAAGCATTCAATCGAGGCTGCAAATTTCAAATTTAAATAATTGTTTGAAACTACAGTAMACTGAAGTGTCAAATACTCAATTATCTCGGTATCATCCAGTTTCTTAGGTCTGGATGCGTGTGTCTAATTGACAACCTAACTCCTCACTAGCTTGAATCCATGTCCAGTATCAAAAACATTTGGAAGAAACCATTTCATTTTAAGCCTACGACAATTATCAAATAGCCAATCAAACACTCCTGTTATGTTAGTATTGCATGGCAAATGAGTRAATAGTTTAGTGACTGGTTTCATAAAGCGAGGAAAATGATCCTCAATGTGCCGAGCAATGTCTTCAACTGTTGGTTTATGAAATTTGAAGCAACACCAGTTCCTTGTCACCCCATAAGTGGGTTTAACTTTATCATGCTTTCTTGTTGCTGGTTTTGAATCCTCTGAATCGAACTCAAGTAACATTTTYGTCAATTCTCCCAAGGGATAACTGTTTCCTTTTTCAGGATCATAAATGACTTGCAGTTTTCCAGTTTGAATAGCAATAAAGTCTGGCGTTATACCCCAAAGACCTTCAAGCCATTTATCAGAATGTGCTGTGTCAAGGAAGAGTATTAATCGTGAACCAGTTTTGGAGTTCTYATCTCTCCACCATTTTAAAATAGTACTGAATTCTAGAGTTTTTCCATCTGTTAAAGCAAAGTTTCCATTATCTTGAACATGCCCACTGTAATACAAAAYGTAGGTGTCATAACTCAAACCTGGAAGAATTTTTTGCTCAAAAAATGTTTGGATTTTGCTTTCTACATATTCAGCAGAAATACCACTAGATGAAAAATCAGTTCCAAAGTTGTGGATCATGTGTGTGGCAAAGAACCTAGACACAATGTTAATCAACTCCATGGCTGTGTTATTAATAGCTTGGAATCCATCTTGCGGCAGAATAGTAACATCTCCCGTTGGGCTGTACTTGTGCGCTGGTGCAATAAGAGCATAACCAGTAGCTGTTCCCCCAACCATTTTGCCAAGTTTTGAAATTATATCAAACATGATGGACTCCGTGGGCAAGACAATTAGGAAGAAGCCTATAAACATTGGATTGTTGTCCTGCCATGCACTTGCAGCAAGAAGACACGTTGACAAGATGGTGTAGAACGAAACAATCTGTGAAACCAAACAGAAATGCCTGATTCCCTTAGAGGCCATTATTTCAGAAATGTTGTTGTCGCTTATTTCTCCTTGCACCCTTAAGACCAGCGCACATTCTTCAATCTTGGAAACAAAACCCCAGGATGTTATGAAAAACATAAAGTGAAATACAATCCAAGGGACGGAACATAAGACAAATAAAGGAAGTCTGTAAATTGTCACACTTTCTACCATTGTCCCTTGAAAGCAGAAGACAAAGTATGCTCCTTGAAGAATTACATTTGCCAAAATTTCCAAGCGATGGTAGCAYTTTGATTGCATAATTATTTTCTTCCAGGATTCCAGCAGTGAAAGTTTTGAAAAATAAAGGTCTAGCATAGCTGAAAATGTCACTTGGATTGCAAAAGCTGAAATGCAAAAGGGGTTGCATTTTTGTTTTGCAGCTTTGAAGAAATATATTCCTGAAATGGCACAAAATACGATGCTGGAAAGTAAGCAGAAGCTTGACTTGAGGTTGAAGGCAACAAGATGGACTACAAGACCCAATGATATCACGAGGATAGATCCAAACTGAGCAGTACCAGTTGACCCAACAACAAACCCAAACAGCAGAAGGAACTCTTCACTTGTGATGCATGAAGCTTCGTATGAAATCAAGTTGCAAATTCTTTCCATCAGAACTCGGAAGCAATATATCCCAACACTAGCTAACACCAATATATCTGTTAAGTCMAGGTCTTCCAAAGATACCATCAAATGGTCGTAAGCAATTTCTGTGAATGATAATACACTAAAGACCACTCCAATCCAGAACTGCGAAAACCCTCTGCTAAAATCCTTGTAACCATAGAGATACGTAACCAGTGATACAAATATGGAAAGTGCGAGTACGATGATGAGCATGAGGTAGCTTAAGTCTGCTGAATGGTATTTCCATCGCTGGTAGATACCAATGCCTGCTCCAGCGTAGAAAAATAAGACTGACAGYAGAGAGGATGACTTCTGCAGTGATCCCAGTATCTCTGGAGGCATCCTGAATGAAGGCTTTACAATGTACTGCTTGTCCTGCTTGTCTTCTATTGATTAAATAAATAATAATAATTAACTTAGGATCATTTGGAAGCCTTAATAGTGCTATCACAAGTTGATTACCATGACAACGAATGCTTCTTATAAGATTTAATACGACACCACCACAAATCTGCCCTTAGAAAAAACAATTTATAGGTCACAGATCATTAAGTAAAGCTATGATCAGCCACATCMTCAAACTAGCAAATGGTTCCTGCCAACGAGCTTCGAAAAAGCCAAGACTACTTAACAGTTATACACTAAACATAACAGAACGATATGAACGCAGGTGGAAAGAAGTGTTATTTTGTGATCTCGATTGGATCTTAATCTACGAGCTACCCACCTGTCATGTATCAAATGTGGAAGAGAAAAAAACGCCCAGGTGATCAARCAATGGAGACAAATTTTATAAAGTCACAGTTGAATGAATTTATCTTTTGGTGCTTCAGTTGATTGACATTCTTTGCTTTGGAAACTGAGTTCTTACTCCCAATACTTCTTAAAGTCGTTTAGATCTCGTATAAAGCTGTATTAGAATACGAAAAAAATATGAAAAATCACATGAAAAATCACTTGTTCCTTTGAAACTGCCATAATTGAATGGTCTGCACATGCTCTCTAMGATTTACAGCTGTGCAGAATAAAGCGCAGTCTCGTAAACATGCACAAACATGGCTGAACAAGAAACTCTTTCGAATGTTGTGAAAGGTTTGCATCAAAGATTGAGAACAAAACTAAAAGAAGGTTGGGACATTTGGCTCTCATTCATATTTTACGAGATATGGATTAGTTTTCTTGAGCTATTAGGAAATTATAGCTTATAAAACTTGCGTCTGAAAATGGGAAACTAAGCTTATTTTTACATGAAACTTTAAAAGGCTTTATTATGTCTTTTTTATTTATTTAAGACCTAGATAGCTATGATTTAAGATGATAAGGAGGGAGATAGTAAAATAARGTATTTTTAAGGATTTAAATAGCAGAGATTACAAATTTTTGGGTTGGGAGAGGGGAGGGGAGGGGAGGGTTTGGGGACAACACATTTTGGACCACTTCCTCCATTACAAATATGGGACCTTACAAAATAGCTGTTATAAATTTCTCATTCTTATTGGTTGGGAGCGCCTGCTTTATGAGAGCACACACGCGTCTTTGTATTTCATAAAAGAAATAAAAAACTTGCTCACTGTGCTGTGTGGAGATATAAGAGCACTTGGGGATTGGCAGWATGCTTGAGAAGTGTCAAGAAGCACTCTGCTACACCTCATGCTTCTCCAAACACTTCTCTCATGTTCTACCTATCCCTGTGTGCTTTATAACACACACAGCATGCATRTGCGTTTTCTATTTCTTCATTAATCTTATAATGAGTATGTTTTATGTTTCACCAACAGCAAATGGAGATTTTGAGAAAATATGGAAAGATCACTGTTCAGATAAGGAAAGTCTACAAAAATATGCCACTGCAATGCATTCATTAGCTACTGACCAGTGGACAAAAAACTCCCCAGGGGGTAGGGCTGATTGGTGTGTCAAGACATGTCAGGATTATTTTAATGGCGGTGGATTAGCATCTGCTCTAGAGAAGCAGAAAAGAAGATTTGAAAAGGAAATGGCAACACCATGTTGTTGTTGTTTGAACATTTCTTAGTGAGTATTTTTAAAGTACTTTATCATGTTGCACAATAAACAATGCTGATATTAATATATATATTTTTTTTTTTTTTTTTCAAAAGTGATAGTGGTTCTATTGTGGAAGGCAAGTTGAATCTCTTGGATGTTGGTAGCTGCTATAACCCCTTCAGTGCATATTCAGAATTCTCATCACTTGCTATTGATCTCTACCCAGCTAAAGAGGTATGTAAACATCCTTTCAATGGATGTGWATGCCTGTTTGCCCACCAAGAATAATTGTCCATTCAACGATTGTCCATGCATGCATGGTTACTTACAGGGCATTGATGTACAGACGTGAAGTGAGATAAAAAGGAGAAATTTTGAGATAAAAAAGAAATGCAGTGGTTGTGTATGTCATAAGGTGCCATACTTCTGGGCAGCTCCACTTACCAACCTGTAGATCTGTATTTTTATTCTTTTTTTTATTAWTTTTGATCAAATGTTGCCATATTTTGGCCTTCCTAATGTGCATATAAAATAATGTCTGTGAAGGGCAGATGCAGGAAATTTCAAGACAGTGTATGTGTGACTTTTTCAAAAACATTATATAGACATCATCTTATGTCTTTTATACAAACTCACTCCCTTTTTTGTATTTCTCTTATTATTCTTTCAGTCTGTCTACAAATGTGATTTTTTAAACCTGAACGTGAGCAACAAGAATATCTCAGATTCAGATAGCAAAAACAATTCCAGTGCTTTATGCAGTTGCAAAGGAAACAGCCCCCAGTCTTTAAGTGCTGAGAAGGAACAGCAGAATAACCTGCCTGATTATGCAAGAGATCCAGTTGGCTCCACAACTGAAGAAAAATTACCCTCTATGAATAGACTATTTCCTTTTTCTCAAGACAGCTGTGATRTTAAAGGATTTCTCACAAGCTCAGAGATCTCAGAATTACCAGCTGCTTATTTCCATGTTATCATTTTTTCACTTCTTTTGTCTTATTTTCCCACACCTGCCCAAAGATGGACATGTTGCATAAAAGCACACCAACTCCTTGCTGTAAATGGTATCCTAATTATCATAACACCTGACTCATCACATCAGAATCGTAATGTTGCAATGATGAAATCCTGGAAAGCTGCTATAGAATCTATAGGATTTATTCGATGGAGATACCTCAAGGATACACATGTCCATTGCATGGTTTTCAGAAAAGTTTCTCCATGTCATCATAGTTGTTCTAAAACTTGTAGTTGCAAAATCAGTGTCAATGTTACTCCTGATATGCTCTACATGCGGCAAGATTTCTCTGATGATAAAGCTTCTGATAATGCCAATGATGATACTAAGACAAATACTTGTGATGTGAATGCGCACAATGGCATGGATCACAAAGTTCCTGAACCACAGARGAAGAAAAGGAAAGCTGAACTTTCTCAATAAGTGCTTTTTGACATATTTCATGGAAATAAACTTCATATTTTTAAGAATAAACTGTCAACATTTTTCTTACTGTAAAAGTTATAAATATATTTATAGTACACTATATGAAAATAATGAAATTCTCATAGTGAATGCGAAAATTTAATTAATATTTTGGAAAAGTCTTATCCTTTTTGGTACTGAAATTTTCAATATCTAGTGGCATCACAATTCTTTTTCATCTGCTCTCATCCCATTTATTCGTTTTTCCTCTTCTCTTCTCTTTTTTCCTTCTCTTTTTATTTTTCCTGCGTTTTATCAAAGAGCGCGCAAGTTTCCCAAGATGCAAATCGGGCGTGTTGCATAATGACGTCACAATACAAAYACGTGCTTGCTTCACTTCAGACTCTGCCAGTTCAAGGTCCGCCATTGACAAGTTAAACCAAAGCAAAAATGGGTGGGTTTTTCTGGACGGTTTTCGCTTTTTTCCTTGTTATACAATCTACAGCCAAAAGCCTTAAGACTAAAGAAGAAGAAGGTAAGTGGATTTGATAAAGACAAAAGACGTTGAAGAGGGAAAAAAAATTTCGAAAATTAAGCGAATTTATCTTTCAAAATGAATCGTTCGCGTYTTGACAGGTTTTTGTTTGGAAAAACCTAAAACTCGTGGTTTGATATCGTATGTCGTTTAGGATTATAGGTTAACAAATTTAAATAATGATTTACCTTAGCTCTGCCGGTAAAATAATATCTTTGATTGTTGTTATTTACATAAGCCTTAAAACTTACCAAACTTTTCCAAAAACTTTGCTGCTGCTAACTTAAGCTTAATTTATTTCCTCGACTTGCCAAACAAAAAAATTCCTTTAGGAAATCAAATCTTGCAAATAGAATAGAATATTGAAAATATTTGCGAGATCGTCTATATTTCAATTTTCATCTACATGTAGGCTATATAATGTTAGTGTTAGTGTTTAATAGTCTTCATCTTCATCCTTATCTTGATTATGTAATTCAAAACACGGGTTAGTGCCTTTGATTAAATTATTCTTGCTATTACTACTTATAGAGCACACAGTGCACTCCACTAGAACACACAACCATGGAGCAGCATCTCAGAAGGATATTGACCGYCGACAATTTAAACAACTGACCAAAACCTTGCAGCATTTTTTGGACGAATATAAGAACCTGTATAAAWTGGCTGAGGATTTGAAGAACGAGGGTGATCACGAAGGTAAGCTACTAGCAGCTTGAAAATAAGCGATAACTAGGGAATATTTCCCCTTAAGTTGGCTACAGGCAAAATTGACCGCCTTTGCTTTGATACTATGTTTTCATGACTGTATTTGTGGTTCTGTTACTACTAATAGGTACTAATAATAGAGTTGAGCCAATCACATGCAAGATATAATTTTATATGAATTGGTTATAAGCGGGTCCAGAAGGRAAGTACCATGTATTTTAACTATTTTCACGAGATTGGGATTGCAAATCCCTAATTACTGTCGATCTGCCTATTTGATTTAAAAGCAGGAWTAATTATTGATTTCTTATATACAGATAAAATCCATGGCATAYATAGGAATGAGGAACATCAATCAGGTGACATGAACAAGGATCTCAGTCATCATAAGGAACACTCGCCACCATCCACGCCTGAGCATGATGAACACGACCATCAGAGGATGATCCATGCMCGCCGCTCGTCTCCGCACAATGAGCACCACGATCAGGAAACGARCCACCCCTATTCCACGCACGCGCAGAATGAACRCCATGGTCAGAGYGTGGACCACGACGCATTTCTCACACCTTCTCACAATAAACACCTCAGTAAACAGCACCAAGTGCGTAGAGACACAGAAACGGATATGAACAAACACGAGCACACGGTAACTCGTCGAGGTAATGCTGAGGAAATTAATGAAGAAGATCATGTACGTTCTGAGCACTCAGCTGWTGAAGATGATCGAGACGAAGAAYTTGGCCATTCAGGAGAAGGCGAGCACAGTGGAGAACATGARGGACAAACAGAAAAAGGTGTTCACCTGAAACATGATGAAAAACATAAAAGAAAGAAAGAAGCTAAGGAAATCGAACACGTGGAAAAAGAAATGCACAAGACAAGTAACCATGGTGACAGTCATGGAGTGAAGAGAGAAATCGAAAAGATGCATGAGATTGAACAAATGGAAAAGGAAGTGCACAAGAGAGGTAACCATGGCGATAAACATGCTGAGGAAACTCATGAAGAAGATCATGTCATGCGTTCTGAGGACTCAGATGGTGAAGATGATGGAGACGAARAACTCGGCCATTCAGGAGAAGGCGAGCACAGTGGAGTACATGAAGGAGAAACAGAAGAARGTGTTCACCTAAAACATGGCGAAAATCATAAAAGGAAAAAAGAAGCTAGAGAAATCAAACATAGAGAAAAAGAAGCGCACAAGACAAGTCACCGTGACAAGAGACAAGGAGAGAAGAAAGAAACCGAAGAGATGCATGAGATCGAACAAATGGAAAAGGAAGCGCACAAGACAGGTAACCATGGTGACAGCCACAGAGGAAAGAAAGANCGCACAAGACAGGTAACCATGGTGACAGCCACAGAGGAAAGAAAGAAACCGAAGAGATGCATGAGATCGAACAAATGGAAAAGGAAGCGCACAAGGAAAGTAAAGACGGTCATRGGGGTATGAMAGCTCATGCCACTGATRTTCACCGCAATAKTCACAGCAGGGAGGATGAGTTAGAGARAGTGCATGAAAAGGATGAAATTGAACATGAGACACACTTGACGRCAAACACTACTCACTCCAAAGAAGACCGAGATCATTTGGAACACAGAGGGGAAGAAGTCGAAATYGAGGGAGATATTGATCATGGCACCGATAGAGATCTTTACTTTGACGGATATYACAAGGGTTATGAAGATGGATATGYAGAAGCGCGATATCATATGGATACAAGCCATGATGATGATGGTGATGATTCACAAGGGCATGGTGATGTCGATTYTTATTCCTATGAAAGGAAGAGACGTGTAAATARAGACCAAGATGATGATGACTTGCATCACAAAACAGATGGCCACCAGGAGGAGGAGAGGAAGA